AGGAAGGCCCGGGAAGGGGCCAATCTCTGCGCACTTGTGGGGGTCCTTCCCAGATCACAAAGTCATGTGGGGATTGGGCACATGGAGATGGGGGACCTGGCCCAGCACCTGGGCGGGAACCTCCGGGTACACAGAGGGTTCTAGTCCAAATGGCGAGGGGGGCGGGGTTCCTGCCAGCGCTGGAGATACGTGCTGGTGGACACAGCGGCCAAAGCTGTGTGCTTGTCTGTCATTGAGGAGGGAGGGGTTCAGGTCTACCCAGAGCAAATGGGGTGGGGTCATTGCATCTGTGTAGAAGATAGGGTCCCAGCTGTAGAGCAGAAAGGGGGAGGCGTGTGTGCACATGGCAGGATTCCAGCCCAGAGCAGACAGGACCAGGGGGTACACCCAAAGGCAAAATGTCCTCCACAAGACTCCTGGAGTGCCCCCACCCCAACGGCGGGAACAACCTTAGGCACTGCGTCTGCCCCCTCCCACCCCCTTCCTCCGGAGGTTCCCCCCCCTCCTGTTCCAGCAGTGACTTGTACACATTTTCCGATTTCCTGTGAACCTCCGCCCAGCAACGGCAGCTCGGTGACTCAGGACCCCGGTGGCCGGGCCCCCCGCTCCATGGGATCTTTGTTTGCTCAGGCCTTTGGCTCTGGCCCTCTGGCCTAGGGCCCTCAGAGGATTTCCTGAGCCCCGCCCCTGCCCTCTGACAGCCAGGCCAGAGGGCCAGCAGAGACCTGGGGTGGGGGGGCTCCCTGAGGCTGGGGCAGCACCCCTCACACTGGCCTCAGGAGATGGAGAGCAGAGAGGTAAGGTGGAGGTCCATGGGGGGTGGAGGGCATCGTGGGTTACCCTGGGCTGAGGTCAGCTTTGGCACTGGTTGGTTTGAAATGGCCTCTGAGAAGGAGATTTTCCTATTCCTTGCTCCAACCTGGCAGTAGCTGAGCTGGGAGTGGCCCCCGGAGACCTCCTCAGCCTCTCTCTGTGCCTCCGCTTTGCTACCTGAGGGAACATCCCTGGCCCCGACTCAGGCCTCTGGCTGCCCTCTCTATGTGACCTTGGGTAATTCCCTAGCCTCTTCTCTGGCCCCAAATCTTAGCTGGGATCGCAACCTCAGAGCAGTCTGATTAAGCGTGGCTGGTGGGGAGAGGCTGGCATCTCCCTCTCGGTGTTGTGACCTTGGGCAAATTACTTAACCTGTGTCCCAGCTTCCTCATCTGGGGCTGGTAACATGGGGATAGTAACTGCATCTTCCTCGTGGGATTGTTATGAGGATTGACGGATTCATGTACGCAAGGCTCTGAGAACAGACCCTGGCACCCAGTAGCACCCTGTGCCTTCGCCTCTTGAACAACACAGGGGGGGTCGGGGTGCCGACCGCCCAGGCAGTTGAAAATTTGCATGTAACTTTTGACTCCCCCCAAACCTAACTAATAATAGCCTTACGGATACTGTCAGCAGTTGACTAACGCATATTTTGTACGTTATGTGTATCATTATATGGTATTCTTAACGATAAAGTAAGCTAGAGGAAAGGAAACGTTACTAAGAAAATCGTAAGGAAGAGACGATATGTGCATTTATAGTCCTGTAAACAAAGTTGGTTTTACAGTTGAAAACAATTTGCTTATAGGATCACCTGGTCAGTTAAGTGTCCGAGTCCTGATTTTGGCCCAGGTCATGATCTCACGGTTCCGTGAATTCAAGCCCTGCCCCGGGCTTTCCGTGCTGCGCTTTTTGTGCTGACAGCAAGAAGCCTGCTTGGGATTCTCTCTCTCGCCCCACCCCACCCCCTTCTCTCTCTGCCCCTCCCCCTCTCATGCTCTCTATTCT